ATGATATTTTTATTTTATTATAGTTTGTACGGATGATTACTTTGGTGTAAACTATATGAATGCTTGTTCACAAAACTGTTCTCATACGCGTTATAAAATTGACGGATTTTGTGTATGTTTACCAGGACGGACAGGCGCCCCAACCTGCAATAAAGGTCAGAGTTCTTGCTTTTAAATATTTATTTTATAATCAGGTAGGAATCATTTTGCTGAGATATTGTCAGTTTGAATCAAGTGGTAGATTTTTTTTTTGTTTCTTGTTTCCTGACTAGAAGAAAAAGTGCCTTGAAAGAAAATATTTTTTAGGCATCAGGCAAAGTGATAAATTAAATTAAACTAACAAACTAAATAAATAAAGATTAAGTGCATTTCAGTGGTCCCAAATCAAAAACTTTCTCTAAAAGTATGTTCATATTAATGATTGATTTAAAGCATGATTTTTAATGATAATTTTGATGTACCTACATGTTTTTAAGAATGCCCATTGGGATTTTATGGAGCAAACTGCGCCTCCACATGTTCTAAGCATTGTGATTTTAACGACACTTGCGACAGACAGAACGGAAGTTGTCCAAGAGGATGTCAGGACCATTATCACGGAGAGACGTGTAAACAAAATCACACTGGTTAGTTTTTTTTATTCCATCATTTATATGACCTTTTCACAAAAAAAAACTTTTTTCTTTAAGTACTTTTTCTGGGAAGAAAAACTCTTTTAAATCATATGATGTACTAGTATTCGATGTATTTAAAACTCGCCAAGTGCATATTAAAATGAAAATATCAGCAGGTTTCTAAAACACTTTCATAATGTACCGCAAAAAGTACATATAATGTTGTTTGAAAGATAGACAAAACTAATCGTTCCTCTTCTTTTTTCACTGATATAAGATTAATTTCAATATTGATAGAGAGACCACGATTTTTAAATGGTATAGAACATATTTTTTTCTTCTTCTCTAGAGTTTGCCTACAAGGATATCTTTATTTGTTAATATTTTAATTATATGATAATCGTCAATGAAACATAGGAAAGTCTTGCATAAAAAGAAACAGAGTCCTGATTTTTCATTTCATATAAAAGTGAAAAAAAGATTTGCATTTTAAAATCTGATCGGTGCTTGAATGCTGTTATCTCCATAAATCATCAGACTTTGTTTAAATTATGTTTATGGTTAATATATATTTTAAAAAATGCATTCTATATTTCCTTTCAAATAGAATATGTAGCTGCAAATCAAAATCAAGATGTGGATTCTGATTACCAAACGGTTGGATTATATGCCTCAGTCGGACTGAATTTCGTTTTGATTGGAGTAACCTTTCTTTTAATAAGGTATTCAGAAATTTTTGTCCTTTCTCCCTCACCCTCCTTTTGAATAATGTAACTTTCTCGAAATTGATTAACCTGTATTTTGAGATTTAAAGGACAGGTTGCAACTTGTATGACAACCGATGTAGCTCTTAACTTTTACATGTTTCTTTATCTAGATCTTCTGTGCAGACAAGGCTTTCTAAATCATCAGAAAAAACCTGCGACAAAGAAGCATATCTTTCCACTTTAGGAAATGTTAACGAGTATCAAGAACTAGATATGATTGATTCAAGTCTTCCCTACCAGGAGGTAGAGTTTTCCCCCAGTAGCCAATATTTACCCGATTAATACGGCATTACTACTTTTGCTTCTATTAGAGATTGTTCTATCTGACGTATCCGTATAAGTATACGTATCCGTATCGAGATATGAAAGGTATCTCGATCCCGATGCTTAAACCATTGAATACATTTTCCATCTCTGTTTGTGGTTAAATAAGCCACAGTCCATGCATTAGAAAATAGCAAATAGCAATTTTTGTATTAAAAATAATAAACTGCTGTACACCTCTATCAATTCGTAAAAAATATTTATTTAAAAAAAGAAAGGAAATGAAGTCAAGTATAAAATATTTTGTTTTAATATCAATTTCATTTTGCTTCAAAATATTTGTAGGAAAACCCCTTTCTCTTTTTCCTCTAGCTTAATATCTTTTATTGATTTTGTCTGTATTTTTCATATGCCATGTAACGGCTTACCAATTACCCCCCCCCCCCACACACACACACACACCCTGGCACACACTGAAATGCAAAATACGTTATCACCAACGCGATCGATAAAACATTGTAGCCGTTTTTAAAGAGACTGTTCAAACTGATTTCATAATTAGCTTCAGGACCGTTATAAGTATTGAGTATATGCTTTGAAGAGCCCTCCTTTTACCCTCCCCTTACATTGGCGTCAGAAGCAAATTAAAAGTAGGTAGGGGGCTATTTGAAAGAGAAAAAAAAATCTGTCCTGAAAAATCTTGCCAAACAAAAAAGTACTTAAATACTACTATGTGTATGTGTGTGTTGGGGGGGGGGGGTGTCGAACTTTTTTCATTGCCATTTTTTTTTCAAACATTAGTACTACCACTTACTCTTCTTTGACTGCAATACAAGGTGCCTGTTGAAAGTGGGGAGGGGGCTTATCCTACCCTCAATGTTCAATGCATATATTATGTCTATCTTTGCAAAAAAAAAAAAAGACTTTATCCCGAATTTCCTCAATTCTGGTGGAATTTCATCATATTTGGGATACATTTCTCTTTGGAAAACATAGAGCAAATTCATGCCTATCTGAATTTTTTCCACATAACTTACATCTGATATCAGTGTATAAAATATATAAATTTGATAGATAGGCAAGCGTGTGCTCTATGTATTCCGAAAGAAAATGTGTTGTAAATTTAATGCAAATTTGCATAAAAATGAGAAATTTCGAAAATTGACCTATTTCCCGACCTCACTGTGACCCCTGTATATTCTAATTCTTAAAACTATCACTCATTTTGTAGCAGGGGTGAAAACAGGTTTTCATGGATAGACTGTTAGATCATTCTGAAAGAACATCCAAAACTGGGGGCCAAATACTGGTCTTACCCTATCTTGTCCTTTGATAAATTAAACGTCTTTTGACTTTTATTCATTAACATCATTTGTGGTTTGATATAAAAACTATTTCACAATACGGTATTCAACTCTCTTTTTATGCAAAGAATAAAATAATTATGGCTCAAAATTTTCAAAATAATATATATATCTTATTATACTAAGCCTACTTGTCCATCGTGCTAATTTTCTTTTCTTTTTTATTCTACTTTCTTTAATTATATACATGTATATAATTTGGCCGACATCGAGATCAGTGTGCACAAATTATAGAATTGAAGAGAAGGAACTGCTTCAATGTAGCCGAAAAAAAATCACACATTAAAGAAAAATTATAATGATATAATATCAAAGTTTTTTCAGAGCTTGCTTTGTTCACTATAAACTCGATAATGTTCAATTCCCAAGCTCCTTGAAACCACAGATACGCATAGGCGCCGGAACTGGGGGGTGCGCTTAAACCCCCCTCCCACTTTTTTTTTTGCAAAGATAGACATAATATAGGCATTTAAAATTGGGGTTTACCTTTTTTGTTGGTTTAGCCCCCCACCCCCCTTTTCAATTAGTGCCCCCACTTTCTATTTGCTTCCGCCGCCCATGACCTACAATTTAGGGAGTGTATTTAAACCGCCCTAGAATTACCAGCTATCCAAATTTTTTGGGGGAACTATGACCATCAAATACCTGATAATGAATGGCATAGAAGATGATAAAAAAAGGAAGATAGGATCGACATTTTCAGTGAATCACCCATACACATTTGTTTTGCCCTACAATGTATGATTCAATCTTTCCCAGTTAATGTAAAACTACATGTATTTACAATTTAGAAGTTTGAGTTTAAGAGGTTTAACTGTATATATGATTATATATTATTGGAGATATGTCGTGTTATGTAAATGTTAATTCGAGAATGAACAATGAATACCCTATTATTGAGAAAGAGAGAGAATGAGAGACAGACAGAGAGAGAAAGAGCGAGCGAGAGAGAGGTGAATCTAGAAATATTTTTGAAATATTTTTTACACATTTGAATTTAAAAAAGAAAAAACATACTTGTTTTTCGAAATTTATTTTTAAACTTTTACCCCAACCCCCCAACCCCACCCCTCCCCCATAAACAGGATGCATAAGGCGTGTACAGCAACTGATATGTTTTTATTAAAAATATCACACTACATATCAATTCTTAATATTTACATTTCCAATAGATTTCCCCTATGATTCTTTACAAAATAAAATGCAGTTCATTTTCTCATGAACTACATTACATATGTACCACGAATAAGCATGAATATCTCCAATGTTACGTCATAATACCGACGTCAAAAAATATAGTGCACACTGTTTTGCTTTAAAAATGACAGTTGAATGGCCTTATTTTATGGCACGTCATCAGGAAAATTATGTAAATATAAGAAATGAATTTAATTTTTGAAGATTCATGAAGTTATGAACTACGACGCTTCACGCCGGCATATTTCATGAAGTGCGTTAGCGCTTCATGATAAATATGCCGGCATGAAGCGTTGATTCATTTCTTAAGTGAATGAGGTTAAAAACCAAACATGAAACGATGGAAATGTAACCAGATGGTTTAAGCATCCGTATCCAGATGCCTCTCATACCTCGATACGTATACGGATACTTATACGGATACGTCAGATAGAACAATCTCTATTACAAACGTAAAAACTTGTTCACGTCTCAATAGTAAAGTATTTATACTGTTAAAAGGACTCATATTTTCTCTAAAACAGAAAAAATTGCAATACTGAGATTTTGAAAATTGTTGTGATAGGAAATATATTTGGTATGGATTATAACCTCCAGCTAAATACTATATATATTAATTTATCAACAATTACGTAGAAAATAAATGTTCATTTTATGTTAGACTATGTTTTCATTCACATTAATTAACAATACAATATCTCACTTTTAATGCTTTTAAAGTCATTTGTAATATGTAAAAATTGATAATGCACAATATGTAAACCTGTTATTGTTTCGGTACTCCATAGTAAATTTTGAAGTTTCTCAAATTCATGTGTGCACATTATTGCCACGTTTTAACCAAAGATTTCATTACAACGGTATTGTAGATGAAATAAATCTTCTGCTCAAGCCTTCTCTTCTAGACTTCAAATTCGCTTCTTTCTGCAAAAAGCCTTGGCTATTAACGAAACTGGAAAAATAGCAGGGTGTCTGATCAACTCAAGTCCAAACTTTGGTCAAACCTGTACGATGACTTCTTAAAACTGCTGTCCAAGGACAAGCAAAATAAAGATAAGTTTTCTCTTTAAGTCGAAGATGGTGGCAGTCCCGGTAAGTTGCCAATCCACCAGGTGGACAATGATTCATTTAATGACACATCTGTCTCTTCCATGTACGACTGGCATACAGCATTGAACAGATTTTTCAGCAATATATTGCATGAAATTCCCTGACCAACAAGCCAAATTGGCAAGGCATTTAGAAGCAATCAGGGAAATAGCAGATGCAAATGGCAACTGGAGAGATTATTATAGGGACTTTAGAACACTAGTCGCTAAGGGACAAGTTGCCTAGGGGGATGTCCACATGGAGTTGTATGTCAATGCCAGACTGACAACAAGCCAGACAACAAAACTAAGTAAAGGTAGTAAAGACGTACATGTACAGTATAAATCAATTCCCAAGGGTGCCTGCTTCCAATATCATTCAGGTAAACACTGTCAGGCAGGAATGCCCTGTCCTTTTAGCATAGATGCTATAACTGTGCCGGGGCTCCTCCATCTGTTCACTGCACAAAACCAACTAAGCATCCCTTTCGTGTCATGCAAAAATACCAAAACCAAACAAGCCATACGGAACAATCTACCAAAACAAAAACAAACTCGACTACCAAACAAGGGTCTAACTCCAGTCAAGGCAATTAGACTTGCTCACTGGTTATCTGATTATGATGAATACGAAATATTTTATTGATGGTTTTGCAAATGGGTTTTATTTAGGATTCAAAGGAGAATGTCTGGGGATAGAGTCTAAGAATTTGAATTCTGCGCTTGCAAAACCTGAAATCATTGATCAAAAAATACAAAAAGAAAATGTGCAAGGTATGATCCAGGGCCCCTTTAAAAGTAAGCCTATTCCTAATTTATAATGTTCACCACTAGGTTTAGATGAAAAGAAAAATCCTGGGAAATATAGAATGATTCATCACTTATCATATCCAGATAACCATATGCATTCTATTAATGATGGCATACCACCTGGTGAGTCATTTGTTCAATACTTATCTATTTTAGATACTATTCAGTTTATAAAACAATGTGGGGAAGGTACATTCTGCTGTAAAACAGATACTAAGTCAGCATTTCAAATAATTAACCTACACCATACACAATTTAAATGTGTTTGGTTTAATTGGGAAAACAAATACTATTTTGATACCTGTCTGCAGTTTGGTTTAAGTTCATCTTATGAAATATTTGAAAGATTCTCAACAGCCTTGCAGTGGATTGCAAAAAATAATTTAACTTTGGATACTGAGTATCTTGCATTTCACATGTTTTGGATGACTATTATTGTAGACAAATCACCTACACAATGTGTTTTGAAGCTCAAAACTTTTCTTGCTATGTGTACAGATACTGGGGTGCCTATCTCACTTGAAAAAAAACATGTTTCCCAAACAGGTAATGACATATCTTGTTTATGAATTAGATTCAAT